TAAATGCATAGAAATTGGGTGGTATGCATGTAAATTCTCCTAAAAAATATTGATAATATGGCAAATCTCACAAATAAACATCCTAACTCCCTTTCTTCATCAGCCCTCAACCAGCCAGCTGACCTTTTCTACCTACTGAATGAAACAATGCATAGAATTCATGATGACAGTGCACGTCTAAACTACACATTCCTAGCACACTTTACCTTAAAACCCCTCTAATAATGTCCATTATTTGCATCTAAATAATGGACATTTATATCAACGTACTTTTAAAAAACACTCAAAACACCAAGTAACAATAACAATAGACCTTATCAATCTATATGTTATTCTAGCTCTTTTATTTTAATTTGATTTGCATTTATTTAATATGATAACTAAATTAAATTTAGATTACATTTCTTTTGAAATACTTGAATCCTAGTCATATTGTAAGCATGAACTTGCAATAAACCCCATGTAACATAAACTCAATTCAGCTACAATTTACTCTTTAATATCTTACCTTAATCTCATAAAGTAGGCAAAGCATTGATATTCAAAATTAGAAAGAAGTAAACTATTTTGGGAATAATTACATTTGCTTTTCACTGTTAAAGATAGTTTATACATATGAAAGACAAATCCACATATCCTAGAATTGAAAAGAAAGTACAAGGTATTGCAGTAAATTTGCAAGCTTCGTCGGTAAATAAACAAAATTGGCATGCTAACAAGAAAAAAAGCAAAAGCTGGTTATAACTTTTCTGTAAATGCGTTTCAATCCATTAGAAGAAAAATGTTTGATTGGATATGTTTCTTATGATCCACACACTAATGCTTGTGATAAATGGCTCTTTTAGGAGGCTTTTGTAAAGAATACTGAATTTTAGGTGCATTTCAAAGATGCATTTGGGAACAGGCAATCCAGACATATTGCAAATCCTCTTAATTACGCCGAAATAAGAAAGTTTACGATATTACCAGATTGTTCCTCTATAATAGTTTATAAATCAAACAAAAGTGTAAAAAATAAAAAAAGTGAACCTTTAATGCGCCTTAGTTCCTTGCAGAGTGTAATGAAGTCTCCCCACTTCATATGGCATCGTCTAATGAATCGCAGAATCTGTTCAGTTGTGAACATGGATAAGCCCTCCAAGTATTCGCCATTTACACCATTCTCCTTGAAAACTTGCTGATAACTACCAAGGTTTATCTCCTCGAGCCACAGACCAACATCCTAACAAACATGCTCCTTCTGTTAGCTAAAGGAATTACGTTAAACAAAAGGGGCATTTGCATACAGAGCACACGGCTTTAACTTATTTCAAAACTTCCATATTTACATGCATTACACTTTCGTGATTTAATCCTATGCACAAAAAAAAGCTGTATTTCACTTTTATAAAATGTAGAATGAAAGTTTTGTGTGAGATATGTAAATACATAAGAATTGTGAGAGGTGTATGTAAATGCTCCTAAACAAAAATACATATTCAACACTAAGTGATACCATGCCCGCACGCACACATACACACACTCGTATATTTGATGAAACAGACCCAATGGAACATAGAAAGTCAAAAAAGATCCAATAGCCAGTTTTCTTAATCTGTATTATTACACATCTTTTGATAAGAGATGAATTAGATTATTTTCGCTATGAAGATTTCTTTCCATTTAAAGTTAAAATCATCCACTGTATCTTTCTGGCCACAGAAGCTACATGTGTAACTTTAAGCCTTCATTGGAATTGAAATTAAGAAGCTTAGTTCAAACTGCATATCAACAAGAAATATCCCTTTCAAATCAATTCCTGCCAGCAGAATTATCCATTTTTGAAGAAACATAAAAAGAAAATGATCCTCTCTCTCAATAAATCTAAATTAGCATCATTAAATTCAAGCATTACACAATCATTCTTCACTAAAAACAATTATGAAGCATATATAGAGCCTATTAGGCCCAAGATGGATTTGAACAGCATTGCAACATACTACACAAAATGTTTTTTTTTTTTTTCTTTCTTTAAAATTTTAAAATACAATCATTCATCTTGGCGATCGATCGTGAACAGCATTGCAACATACTACACAAAATGTTTTTGTTTTTTTTTTTTTATTTCTTTCATTAAATTTTTAAAATACAATCATTCATCTTAGCGATTGATCATAGTTTTGAAATGTATGGCAACATAAAAACAAAGTTATATCTAGAATGAAAAGTTTTTTCAGAAACTTCAACGCTATCATACACATTCAAGTTTAATTCTAATGCAGAGTTCTTGCTATGCAAATTCTAAGTTTTCTATGCATCTTTTTATCAAACTTTTGAAAATTGACAAAGCTCAATTACAACAAGCAATCATGGACTCCACTATTTTACTCAAGAAGCTCCAACAATTAACAGAATAGTGAGCAAATTTAATTTATGCTTTTAGAATTTTGAACTCTTTACAAAATAGTGTTAATCGTCAGCCTGATCTGCAATGTAAAATATTGTCATATTAAGCACAAAAACATAATAAAACTACCAAAAAATCATTCAATCAGTGACTTGATAGCACTGAATACCAATTTGATATTGGATGACTCACATTAATTTCAGATGGTAGGTCTTAAACTGTAAATGCACTTGTGTTAAGAAAATAATAAACACTACCAAACATCAATCATCAACCTAAAAGAATGAGATATGTTTGAGATTATTGATAATAGCAAACAAAAATTCCAAAGAGCTTGATATGAGATGGTGAAATTAAAAGTATAAGCAATTCACACATACATTAAATTTAAACATTTTTGAACTTTTAAAAACATTCAAGACTTCAAGCTCAGTTGACTGATCAATTCCAGGCTGTTTTCATGTTAAAACAGTACAAAAAATGCTTTGGAAGGAGAATAGTGAGATGTAAAAGGGAGTTCCCATGCAATAGCTTGACAATAACCATCAAATTGGCTTAATAAACATGTCTGTATAAGGCATTAAGGCAATGTAATCGAACATACATGAAAGATTAATTTGAGTTGACGATAACCATCAAATTGGCTTAATAAACATGTTTGTATAAGGCATTAAGGCAATGTAATCCAACATACATGAAAGATTAATTTGGTGTTTATTCTTAACAATCATTTAAGGCCACGGACTTTTAATTTGGTGTTTATTCTTAACAATCATTTAAGGCCACGGACTTTTACTTAAACACACAGGGAGGTGGCAGTGGGTGCGTGACAGTGGCAGGTGGTGGCCAATCGCCAAAGGGAGTGACTGGTTGGGGAAAGTAACACAATGCATTAAAAAATCGCTTAAGTTGGACAATTTCAGAATACAAAAAAAACTAAAGGTGAAATCCAAATATACCAACAAATTATTTTCGGTTTAGCTTTTCATCATACCAAATAACTATATTTCCAAAATCCCTACAAAATATGCCAAACAAAATAGCCCCTGTATAAAACGTGCAAAAGTATAACTTTATTATAGAATATCACCCATTAACATGAAAATAGAATTAAGGCTTTATTACATCCATCTTAATCTTCACAGCTTCAGAGAGTTGCATGCCAACAAAATAAATGACAGTTCATGCATATCATTAAAGGAAAGAGAAATACATTTTCATGTTTGCTCCAAATGTATGATGAGATAAACTATTCTTCAAATTATCAACAAAGTCGATTCTACAATACCCACTTCTTCAAATAACTATTTTGTTCATTTTCCCTATTTTAAATTTTTATAAACCTCGGCAATCTATCATAGTTTTGAAATATGTCAACATAAAGCACAATGATCTCTAAAAAACTATTCCTAAATGACAAAATCCTTCATCACTTTTTCCCCTTGGAATGATTGGTATTAAAACAGCCAATGTTCATCATCTAGTCAACTCATTTTGATCTAACCCAATTTAAACGACCAATCATGGACTCCACTAAGTTTTTCAAACTTGATGAAGCTTCTACATTCAACATGTTAGTAAGCAAATTGCATTATGTACAATCGATGAAAAGTTAATTGCAGCCTACTCTACAACATAACAAAATTATTGTCATATTACGCAAATAAACATTATAAAATATACCACGAAATTGCTCATTTGGTGGCTACATATACCTAACTAATGGTTTGCTGCTGGAGAACTAACATTAATTTAGGAGTATCTTAAACTGCAAATGCCCCCTCTTCAAGAAAATAATAAACATCAACAAACAACATCAATTTTGACAAAAAAATATATATGTGGTTGAGAGGATATCTGCTGAAGGTGATAGATTCAAACATGCATGGATGGATTCAAACATGCATGGGAAGCTTTATGTTCCAAATATATAAGTTTTAAATGGAACCAGGAAGAAGAAGCTACGACTTTTATGCCAAACAATCTGAAATAAAAATTATGTTAGCTTTCATTGAAATAAAACATAACCTAAAATCAGTAGAAACATGCTAATTACCTTTTTCCACTTAAAAATTTGACATCACATGTAAAAAAGAGAAGTTTTGACCCAGTAAAAGATCCTGCTTTAACGGACAGATCTTTAAAAAGAAGAAGATCTATTTGAAATTTGAGCAAACTTGTTCTTAGAGATCACTAATAACGTAGAAATTAAGAAATCCCCCAAGTTTAATATACAAATCCTTAGCAGAACAACCTAAAAAAGCCCATCAGACAGCACAAATTCGAAATAATTTGGGGCAAATGCAAATGCCCCAACTCCTCTCCTTTCCAACCCTAAAACAAATCGAATGATGACACAAAGATCCAGAAATCAACAGAACGAAGAAACGAATCAAACAAACGAAGAACGATACCTCAACAGTCCAGATGAAGAAATCCAAGGGCTCCGGTGGCTGACCCTTGTTCCCATCCGCCGCCTTGATCTTCCTTGAGAGAGAAAACTACAATTACCACCAAGAATACTAAGTAACTCCACCACAAACAGGAAGATAAATCATAAACAAAGGGCTTCTTGCAAGAAACTCACCATCTTCCCCAATCGCGACGGGAAATCGCCCCAAGTGGAAACTTTGCATAAACCGGAGAGCTCCGGCGACGATTACCGACTGGATTTGTCAGATAATGGTCAGAGATCCGTCCACCGACATCATCGATTTGCAGGAAGTGAGTGGGGAGGGAAGAGCAAACGAACGAGAGAGGAAGTGTACTGAGCAGCTTCTCTTTTGAGCTTATTTTAATTTAGCATACTAAGCATCAAAAGTAAAATTTTTAGTGACAATTACATAAGTTATAACACTTTATCAAAATCCTATCTTCCACGTTTGTCATGTTGTTTTAATGAGGGTTCTCTATGTTTATGCTCTCCATGTTATTTTGTTGGTATGAATGTCTTGATCTTTTTTGTTTTGCCTAGATAGTCTTAAGACTTTTCCTGTTATTGATTTTGTTTTGTTGGTGATACATGTAAAATTCACGGTGGTAGAGTAATTGATTATCATCTTAGAATTACACGAGAATTCAACACACTCAGAAGAGAGATTACACGCAGTAGTATCACCAGAAGTTTTTACGTGGAAAACCAGTAAAGAGAAAAAACCACGAGGTATAACCCAGATGTAAAAATCTACCATTTGATGGTGATTACAAAGATCCCTTGTCCCACAGACGATAAATTATTATTAGGTTTGACGATTAATGATGGTTGATAGTGATTGATGGTGATCTACGTTGGCCAACGGTCGATGACGATCAGTGGTACTTGACAGTGACAATAGTGCTTGATAGCAGCCGGGGGTTTTTGACGGTAGTCGATGGTGGTCGACGGCGGCCGACGACAATCCGACAGTGACAGGGGTGGTGTTGGATTTTAGCTCATTCTCAAAACTTTAAGTTCTCTCTTAAGCCTCCAACCCTCTCTCTTGAGAGGGGTGGAGCTCTATTTATAGTGTTCTGGGTGCAATGAAAACAAGAATATGAATCATTTTGATCGGACGGTTCGGAAGGCTTCTTTCAATTAAACGGCATTTGATCAAAATTTGAGTGTCTGAACGATGTCGGAATTTAGAAATCTTGGGCTTGTTGGATTCGTCATGTCGAGACACTTGATTCGATAATTAGATTGCTAGATTCGACATTTGTTTAACCTCCTAAATATGTTCAAAAAACTTTAAATGGTAGTTTAATGACTTGATCTGAGCTTAATTTTAATAGGATTAGACTAACTTTAGTAAAATTAGGTTCTTCTTGTTGAGCCGATCTGTTTGACTGTAAGTTTTCTGTAATCGGAGTTCTGGATGAGTTTTTATCAATATTTAAATGTTTCTTGTTCAAAAAGTCACTCGAAATCCATATCATACCTCGAGATTCATATCGGACGATGGAGATTTGTTGAAGATGTATGGGTTGGGTTTCTTTTTTTTTTTTTTTTTTTTTTTTTTTTTTTTTTTTTTTTTTTTTTTTTTTTTT